CCTATGAAAGCAAACGTCCAGAAGCAAAACTTGTAAGTCAGGCAAGCATCAAATATGGAAGCTCCACTGTGAAAACAAACTTCCAGGAGCTAAGCTTGGAAGTCAAGTAAACATCTAACTGGAAAGCTTGAGGCCAGAATTGAGCCCGTAGTTTGACCGGGATAATTATGGCCTCATGTGTAGAACATTTTTACCAGGTGGGCCGGGTCCAGGCCGGCCCTCGAGACGGCCCGCCATATTTTTTTTTTTTTTTAATCTGTTGACTGGGTCGTGGCCTGGTATAGACCGTTGGCAACCCGCTAATCTGGATCGTTAAAAGCTTTTGACCGTTGGAGATCTAACTGCTAGATTTTTTTATTTATTATTTTTTAAATTCGATTCCACGGTCCGAGACTGGTTCAATTTCTACCCGGCTCGTCGTTTCCACAACGGTTGGATCACTAAAAAATATGCACATCTACTTTGATCCACTAAAGTATGAAGTCATTTTTATTCGACTAATAGTCTAAATGAGATCAATTCACAACTATGAGAATTATTTGTAAACTAATAAAAAATTATTATTTTATTAAAGTACGATTCTATTAAAAAAATATTTTGCCATTATTAATTATGATTACGATTTTATTATTAAAATTATATTAAAAATAAGTGTATATTATAAAATAACAATTTTATTTCCTTTTAAAGATTTGTTGTATGGATTGATGTGAGGCTGATTATTGTAAGATATGTGAGAAAGTAGTTTGAGTGATATGTGGAAAGAATCAAATTATTGAGGAAGCTTTCACGTTGGACGTTTCTGGTACATTAAGCTTTCCTTAAAGAAGCTTGTTGTTGTCCTAAGCTTTCCTCTGGGATGTTTGTTTGGATTCAAAGCTTAATTACCAGACGTTCCATAGGGCCTTAAGCTCCTTCTGGGATGTTTATTTGACTTCCAAGCTTAGCTCATGAACGTTTGTTTTCACAATGAAGCTTTTATGTTGGACCTTTGCTTGGCTACCAGTTAGATGGTTACCTGACTTCCAAGCTTAGCTCATGGACGTTTGTTTTCACTGTGGAGCTTCCATGGTGGACGTTTGCCTGACTTCCAAGCTTAGCTTCTGGACGTTTGTCTTCATAGGCAAGCTTTGATGAAGGACGTTTGGTATGCTTTAAAGCTTAACTTTTGAACGTTTCACACGGCCTCAATCTTTTCAGTTAGACGTTTAACGTCAGAATAAGCTTGCAATTTAAAAGTTTTGAATTTGTTGTCCCTTCTCATTTAGACGTTTAGCTTCATAATCGGGCTTCGCATTTGGACATTTCCTTGGCTTCCAAACTTAGCTCTTGGACGTTTTTTTCACAATCGGGCTTTTTTGTTGGATGTTTCTTCGACTTTCAAGCTTAGCTTTTAGACGTTTCTTGGGCTTTCGAGCTTTGTTGTTAGATGCTTGAATGCATTTTTTTCCATTAATTTTTTTTTTATCATAGAGATTTTTTTGTACATTTACAATTTTTTAATATTATTTCGGGCAATAAATAGTAATTTGGGGGCGACAAACAACACCATTAAAAAGAATAAATTTGGAAACGAGCCAGCACACGCGGCAAAATCCTGCACTATTTTGAACGTGGGCCCCACACATAACGTCCCCGATTAGATTCTAGAATCTTCTTCCCACATTCATCATTTGTAGCTGTTACCACAGAAAATATTCACAGATCCCCTTTCCTCACTCTATCTAGTCTCTACACACACAGTACATCGAGGGCAAATTTGTGGATTAATCTGTGTGAAAATCCGAGCCCAGAATGGCGGATCATCGCGAGGACGAAGAGAAGAAGGAGGAGCCGTTGATTGAGAAGATCGGCGATAAAATCCATGGCCACAGTTCCTCGTCATCGTCGTCGTCCTCGTCCTCGTCGGACTCTGAGGATGAGAAGCCTTCGCCGTTGAAGGCCAAAGTCTCCCGCCTCTTCGGGAGGGAGAAGCCCGTTCATAGGCTCCTC